GCTCTGAAGTGTCTAAACTAATTTAAAAAAACCCTAACCATCATCTAAGAGCTTACTAGTCAGTGGTCACTTAGCAGCAGCTGTGGTATAGTCACTGAGTATAGTCCCATGTACTATAGTTGTAGCAGTAATACTGTGTTTCCAGAAAACAGACCCAACCAGGTTAATAAAGGACCATTGATAAAATTTTAGGTCTTAAAATACTAAACCTAATTCAAGATGTTTTAAGCTAGATTTACTAGACAATGTTAGGGGCCACTGGAGTTTGAATTTTTCTAAGAAATATTTTTAGGTCTCTGAAATATATTCTACAGTTGATGTAAAAGCCTATTAATAGCCCTGTTTTGAGATGTAGCAGCTGAAGAATTTCTGCGAGATGGATATTTTTACTAGAAAATAATTTTGCTATTTTTGCTCTACTTGCAACAATGAAATCAACAGCATGTGCCAGAGTAGCTTTAATTCTATCCTGAATAGATTAGCAGTGCAGTATGTCATAAATTGCTTAAATTATGCAATTAAAAAAGTATACTTTCCTTGTTTGGTTTTGCATAATAATACATTATAATGAATTCCACATAGCACTTTGTGCGTTCATGTATATCCAAGTAACATTTTTCCATCCTCTGTAAAGCATGTGTCACTGTTACATTAAAAATAAACAAATCATACTAATGATTTTGAAAACCAAGACAGCAGACTTTGATTGGCGATCTGTCACAAGGAAAGTAAAGAAGGAAACTAACATTTGGTGGAAACTATTTTATGATTCAATTTGACAGATATCTGTAGGTGGATATCTGAACTGATAAAGAGGAAAAAGAGCAGTCCTATAAATATTGAGTGGCAGGTGCAACACCTCCATGGACTAGATTAATAGGACCTCATTCTGAAATCAACAGAAAAACTTAATTTTGTTTCAATGATTTTGTTTGTTTGGATTTTTTTGTTTTTGATCAAGTGCTCACCCCAAGTCTGATCACCACATTCTGGTAAAGGCAACTCCCTCCGCCCTGTACCCTTCAGTGTAAATCATGCAGAATTCAGGGTTTCTTTTTTTCTTTTCTTCTGGAGATATCAGTATACTCCATGTGAAAGTAGTTTTCTTGCACAGTTCCATTAATTTTCTTCTTCCTGGACCTTACCAGTTGGGAAGAATTTGCACTATGAAAGTAACGTTCTGATTTGATCCTTGCTGGGAATCGGGTATTAATATGAATAAAGAGCACCAAAATCCTGCATGACTGACTTTCTTTTCCAAAAAATAAATATATCCTATAAACCCTTTCTTTGAATATTATTCAAACAACATATCTTGGTAATATCTTGTAATAGTGAGTTCTACTGGACAATTATAACTAACTTTAAAAGTGCTTGTGAATGCAATAAACAGCTAAATTTTATCAAGGAGATTACTGTCACATTTATTTGCTTTGTACTGCAACATAAGGTAAACAGAATTACTGATTCCATTTCTTGATAGTAGTCTAATCTAGCATTATCTTATGTATTTCTGGTTCTTTACCATCAAAACACAGGGGCTGACCTGTATGATCACCTCTTATTTCTGCTTCAGAAGCTCCCATGCTTCTAATAATTTTCATGTCTTTGTGTTGTTTCTATTTGTGCTGTATTTTTGTGAGAAAGTAATTCAGTTTTTCATACATTAATATAATACCAGAATTATTTTTTACAATTAATTTTTAACTTTTACCTAGACTGTTATGTCATGTTCTTGACTTGGCTTTTGTAATAGAAAATGGAAGCTGAAAGCAACTCTGCCACTAGGGAAGCACAGATGAATACATCAGGGCCAGCTTCAATGGAATAAAGCTAAAATGCATTTTCCTCAGTTTTTAAAGCACACACCTGCAGTTGCTTTCTCTCAATTATGCAGCAGCAGTGACTGAGCTCCATTTCTGTTTGTATTTCTGTTTTTAAAAAATGAAGCACTAAACAGCGTACATCTTCACCAAAATATGAAAGGGAGCTAGCTGCTGCTGAAGTGTTATTACCACAGGCAAGAAGAGAAGAGAGAGCAGGAAAGGATAAAGGGAGGCATGGGAACTGAAGACAGTCAGTAACATTATATGTTTTCTAATGTCATTTTGAATTATTTATACTTAGAATAACTAAACAGAAAAATTATAATAATGTTTCATATTTTTCTGTTTCCAAAATCAGTATAGCATAGGCTGAGGAAAACAGCAGACTTTAAAATCTGTATTTCATATGTACTTCAATTGTTTAGGGCCTAACTTACTCTCATTTAAATAAAAAAGAATTTTGTCATTAATTTCGGTGGAGTTTGCACAGCTCCTGATGTATGATATAAGCAGGAAGAACTATCAATATGCTGCCTTTTTAAGTCAGAAAGCAAACGAACAAGAGTATGCTAGCCAAAAATGTATCTGAAGGTATAAACTGTTGAAAAGTCCAAACCTTAGATATAGCATCACATGACACTTATAAATACTGGTTTAAGTTTTACAACAGACTGCTTTCCTCCAACAGTTGGCCGAAAGATATGTCTAGTAGCTAATGCACTGGAATCTCTTACAGCAAAAACAAAAGGAAAAAAAAAAGTGCTAGCTTACTCACATGATCTGGCTTTCTTCTCTTTATGCTTAACGGCACCCACCTGCATCATGACACCAAAGACAACACAGATGTTCCTGTGATTAGACTGAAATGAGAACTTTCATCAGCTGCAAAGAAGTCAGTCTTAAGTACATACTATTGTTATTATCCTACCCTTTGGATTTGGATTCCAGCATTGTCTTGAATGTAAGGAATGAATATTACTGAAGGGTTTGGATTACATGACCCTGCAGTTGTTTTTGTGGATGTTGTTTCTACTAATACAATAAGTAGATTAGCTGTAAAATTCTGATTGTTTTTCCCCCTTTACTTGAACTGCACATTTTTCGAACAACTCCTTTTGAATACAGTCTGGCAAAATATTTTTTTTCCACAAAGCTCTACACCAAATGGTCTTGTCCATAGCGGGTATATTCTGTTCTTTGGCACTAGTAATACTGACAGTCCCCCTGCAGATGGTCTACTGCTCCAAGATGGTCTGTGATTAATTCTGCTACAAACTATTGAATGATAGCAAGCTTAATTCATTGCAATATTGTTGCAACCTTATGGTAACTCTGTGGTGTCTTCCCACAATGATTTTCCCTTGGAAAGAAGATTCTTGGGCTACTGGTCTTCTGTCAGACTGATCCTGGCTTTTGCAGGCTATCACAAGGCCCATAATCTTTTGTCAGTCACAAAAAAGATAAAGCAGAACCTGATGTTCCTGTCTTCATACAGACAGGGATGGTGTGATATGTTGTTTAAAAAACTGTCAGCAGCTGACACCGCCTAGAACAAGAGTTCTGTCATCATTAGCAGTAGTGAGACAGAATTGGTATTAGCAGTGCTGTGACAGGTCTGTAAGATATTCTTATTGAACACCGAATCCAAATTAAGCACTAAAGTTTTGAAAATGGACACTTCTTGTGCTTTGAAGCATTCGGTGAAGTGACCCACATTTTATAGTGGTTATCCACTTTCTCACAGATGCAGAGTTGCTAACTCTTCAAGAATACTTTGTTTGCTCTTTAGATCGAGTGAAATTATTTGTATACAAACCCACATCCCTTCTTGTCAGTTTCTCCAGGAATAGATTTTCTCTGTCCATAATTTCCACAGTTTCGTAACTATTTTAACAGAAATGTCTTCAAGGAAACGTGCAGGTTTGAAAAGCAACTGAAGCTTGCATTTTAATCATGGTTTATCCCATTACTTTGAACTTGGAAAAAATATTTGCCCCATATTGTAATTATAGCTGAGGTAGACAGATATTGCAAGAGTATGTCCCTTTCTTGGGGAAATAAAAAACTGCTATACTTTTACTGTGAATTGCATTGTTTTGAATATTTGCATCTGAATGACTGTTCACGACAGCAAACTATTTCAACTGGCTTTGGGTAATTCAAATAGAGCCATGAAGGGATTATGTTAGTTTTAAACATGATTGGTTGAACTCAAGTTAATTTTACATAGTTTTTAATAGTAATTCCATAAAAGCTGTACTTTATCAATAATGTTTAATAGTGGCATGTATTGGTGCATATGTGGGCAAGAGAGGAATAATATACAGATTACAGTAAAACAACTACATATCTGAAGTGCCTCTTAAAAACATTGTTACAGCAATGAGGTTAAGAAGAGGCAGATAAAATACGCTTGTGAAATTCTGTGTAAGGTATGAGGTTGCATTGAAGCTAAGGACTGAGGGGGATCAATTATAACTGTATCAAGAGCAATTAAACTCAATAAAATTTAAGAGGGAAAAATAGAAGAGGAAAAAAGCTCATTTCTTAGGATGAGAAGTCAGTGATGTTTATAGAAGTTTCTCTCACTCCCCTTAATACAAAAGTTAAATAAAATCTCAGGAGTAATTTTTAATGCAGTTTGCAGTTTTCTGAAAAAGGCTTTCAGGCTTCACATAGCAGCTTATCTCCTGCTTTTTTTCCTGTGTACTATTTTTTTTTAAAACACAAAGAGGGGTTTCTTCTTAATTACTTTTACACTTAAGCCAAAACACAGATTTAGATTTTTTTTTTTCCTCCTGTGTATGTACACACATATAGTAATGGATTTTAGATACTGTGTTCTTAAGCACCTGGCTTTGAACATTTTTGGCCTTCGGTGAACAGGGACAAGAAAGCAATTTTGCCTCTGCAGTTTTACGCAGGCATAGGTGTATTTTTAGGCTGTTTCACAATGAGTAACACACTTTCCTTTCAGGCGCTTGCAGGGTGGGGACTGGAGCCCATGGGTTTGCAATGAATGGACAGAGACAAACGCCCTGAGAAATCCATGGGCTTGCAGTACGTGTGCGGCTGCTGCCAGCGCTTGCTGCTGCCCCCGGCGGCAGGCCGCGCCGCGCTGGTGGAGCCCCGGCTCCCCGGGAATGCTGGGAATGTTGAGTCAGGGACGGGCAGCCCAGCCCGCCGGGCTCGCAGCGGACCGAGGGAGACTCGCTGAGGGACAGAAAGACGAGGGACAGGAGCACACAAGCCTCCCCCGACTGCAGCAGGTTCCCTCTCTTCCTCCCCTCGTAGGTGTTCGGTGGCTCGGCTCTCCCTGCTGCCTCCTTCCTCCGCGCAAGTGAGATGTCAGCTAAACGTGATGTTGTAAAATCCATGTGAGGACGAAAGACAGATGCAATGATTTGAAAGGTGAGAAGCTTAAACAAGAATATGGCTGTGATACATGGCTGTAAATTTGTTGTGATTAAGGAAATTGCTATATATTGCTTTCTACAACTGTCTGGTAGCTGAAACTGGAAATGAATTCTCAGGACAGGCTTTTTATATTGCTTTAGAAATATGCTGTAATAAATGGGACCAAGTGCACATCTTATTCTGGTAACAGAGTGCCTCTCCCTACAGAATCGTCAACCAGAAACCTCTCTTGCAATTTCTATTAAAAGCAGCCATAGGAGTCTCATTTTTTGTGCCTAGTGTTTAAAAAATATTATTGTTGTTAAAGTTTTCTAGAATAGAATTGATGAGCTTTGGAAATTCCTAGCTTTATACCTAAATACTAGATAATGTTTGGTGTTTTAAATATCGTGTCAGGAAAAAGGTGAGAGATTTCTGTTCCCTTCTAGCGGCTGGTGAATGGAAACCAGAAACTAACAGGATATTGTTTTGCAGTTATATAATTAATGAATACTTACTGGGGTCCCTCATTTATGATGCTCTGTGATTTTTTTTTTTTTTTAAAGATCATTTTAGGTTGGACAAAAGTGATGCATATGATAAAATCCATGCATATATTCATCAAGGATACACATATATTTTACTGAGAGCACTAGAGTAGTAATGTGATGGAGAAGGAATATATGGTTTTTTATTAGTGTGTGATGGATTTCTAGGCGGCTACCTGCTAAGCCTCGTGATGGATGGATGGGAATCTACTCCCTTAGCAGCGAACTGATATTTCCCTTTTGATGGACACACCAACCGACCACTTGCATTGCCAGATACAAGCTCGCTGCACATAAGCACGGCCAGTAAGTGCAGTCAAGAGGAGGGCGAATCCTACTTGTCAGGGTTAGTTTTCTGGTTGGCTTTTTAAATCAGTGGTTTCACTTAACTATTTGTTTGTTTGGGATTTGTTTCCATTCCCTGTTCCCGTGCCCCCATCCCCCATGTGCCTGCCCAGGGCGGGCACCTCGCACGCAGCCCCTTCCCGGCAGCCCCGCCGACAGCAGGCCCTGCTCCGGCTCCCCCGCCTTCCAAGGGCGGGGAAGGGGGGAAGATCCCCCCTCCATTAGGTCGCTTCTCCGCTGGCACTTCATCCCCCTGCGGCGAGGCCGAGGGCGGACAAGATCCTCCGTCTCCCGCCGGCCCCCGCCAGCCTCCCGCCGCGCTGCTCCGAGGGAAGGCGC